ACGTAACATTTCTGTCACACGCTTGAGGTATTCGGCCAATCACAACGCACTGGACAGCTGGCCAATCACAGCACACCTCGCTTTTCAGAACGATGAGCTTTGTAAAAATTGACCCCGTTTCAGAAAGGCGGGGCATAGAGGAGAAACAATAATGTACAGTATGTGGAAAATAATCTGTTTTTTGAACCTTAAACCGCATAAACACATTTCATTACACCAAATACACAAAATACTGTTCTTTTTAGCAGCATCATATGACCCCTTTAACAAAACGTGGTCACTAGTGTTACTGTCACGGTTGCTACAACACTTCTTTAATTCATGAAATGGAATTATATAATTCATGAAAGACGACAAAATTTAACTGCACTCTCACTTAAACCTAAATTGGAAAATCAACTTGTTTTTAAATGGCCCTCTTAATCTGCGTTATAGCGATAAAAAACATCGATTCCAATATCAAGGGCAGTAATCGACTGTTATTTTTGTCATTAAACACAAATGCTTTGCAAACAATCGATTAGAAAACTCTCACAGCACTTACTAAAGACGACTGGAGGCGAAACGAGTTCACAGCCGAAGCTCGGTCATCTCCAGCTGTTGCTCTCTAATTAACGTAACGTACGTGCGTCACTTAATGCGTGATTGCGTAGCTCGGCAGAGACCGACTGATTCTGAACAACGACGCAAATCGTTCAAAAGAAAACAGAAGTTTAAAAGAAGTTCAACATTTAAAAACTCCTGTTGCATTTTTGTAACTCCTCTGCCCTGCGCCTCGCTTTTTAACATGCGTTCTGTTGAGAAAACCCACACTCAAATTAATTCTAATTAAAATTCTTGCCAGACTAAATGTAGAGTGGTATTCGGGAGTTGAACGGGTTGTATGGAGCATGTGTAAGCTTAAGCAACTAAAGATAAATGAGGAAAAAGGAAAGTGCACTATTCTTGATTCGAGAGCTGTCGGTTCGTCACGCGGGAGAGTCGGGGATTTGAGCGGGGTTTGTTTGCGGTCCGTTCGCGCTTTTCGTGTCCTAACCGCATTTTTGAGCCGCTTATGGAGAAAGTAACTATGGGGAAAATCAGAAAATCGAGAAATCGGCTGAACATTGACAGAATTAACACGTCGGAAGTTTTATAATTAGCCTCATTTAAGTACTTCGGTTTTGTGTTGGTCAAGTTCTCAACCGTCAGTTTAACGTTACGTTAGCTGCGTTTAATATGACTTTAGCAGTTAGAGCTGCTCTAGCATTAAATCAGTGTAATCGAAAATTAACTGAGGAAAACCGCACAAATATAGGGTTAGGATCAAAAAATCTACACTCCAGAAAAAATGATCAAATCGTATTATTTTACATGAATTAAAACGGATGCTAAACACGAGAAAGACCGTCTGTTACCTACGAGTCGGAACCTGTGGGGTACATTTATTTTAAGCTCGATCATCAGTCTGAAGAAAGACTCACCTCAGAATCAGTTAATGGACAACTTCGGCAGATTTGCAATTATTGATCACTATTGGACGCGGTGTGAAGTTATTGATCTGTCTTGACTGACAGCGCGAAAACCCCCTCACTGACTGGTTACCGGTCAAAGTAAAGCAGGCGGGATTCTGGAAGATGATTGGCTGTTGCCTCGGGTGGTCTGAACAGTGATTGGCTCAGGTCCGAACAGAGTGAAGTCTGATTGGATGAATCCCGCAATGGCAAAACGCACAGCAACCGCTGTTAATGCGGTCCTTGATTAATTCATTTTGTACGTTGTTGAATGTTGGCAAAGTCTCTCCACTTTTCCTAGTGTTTCGTATTGTTTTATTATCTATATTAATCTTAACGGTAATTACAAATGCGTTGTTCAACTGTGTTGTTCATGGCGGATCTTCTTCTCCACCCACATTAAACGACATTAACAGATATAACTTGATTTTAATAAAGTAAATGTCTAAATTAATATATGCTTTAGAATTGTTTTTCAGGGTTAGCTTATGCCAAATCTAGTTAGCTAAAGTTAAAAAAAAAGAAAATGAAACCTTATTGTAAACAGTGATGGGCAGTAACTAGTAGTGTAACTAATTACTAATAAGATTTCAGTATATTGCAGTTACCATCCATAAAACAGCTCGTTACTTGGTTACTTTTGATGCCTCAACCCCTACTGCTTTGAAATCCAACAATCCAATAATTCCTAGATTAATTTTCATAATTCTCAGGACTCGCTCATGACGTCAGCAGTGCATCAGGAAAGCTGGGAATATGGAAAAGCTTACAATAAGTGGATGTAAATATTGGCATTACACTGGTTTAGTCAGGAGTCTGAGCACAGATGTGTGAGTTACTTTACTCTGGTATTACACCATCATCCCTCTGATCCCATATTAATTATATTACTGTAATTAAACATCTCATGAACTTATGTGATTTCTTCGGATAAAATACTTCATGAAATATAATCATATATGGGTAACAGAGAAATTATAGCTACAATTAGCTTCAAGCTACACGTGACAATTAATACACTCTCACTGAAAAGTCTCTATCAATCACTGAGTGTTTGTAATAACTTCTGAATGATCCAGTGTGGATTTTGATCAAATGATGTGGCAGAAATATATTGTTAGTAACATTTTAGAAGAATTTTATGGGGAAAACTAATGTAACTAGTAGTGTAACTAATTACTGTTGCCAGAAAGTAATAAGTAAAGTAATAATATTACTTTTGAAAGGAGTAACGTAACGAGTAATAAATTACATTTTTGGAGTAACGAGCCCAACACTGATTGTAAAATACAAACACATTTTTACTTCAGTGTGTAAAAGTCCCAAGATCCCAAAGCCAGGAGCGTTTCTAGGATTATACACATCCGGATAATGGAGTGGAGGGGGTCAGCAAGAGCTTTTTAATGGAATATAGTTTAATAATAAACACAAATGAACAAAAATATTATGTAACTTTATACAATTTCATTCCATCCAGTCTTTTTTCTGACTTCTAATGTGTTGCAGTGAGGTTTAGAGACTCCTCAGTAAGAAAGGCCTTCATCAGCTTCTCCCAACACCAGAAACCTGCTGCTCAGCTCAAGCATCATGCACTCAAGACACATCACAGCTCATGTTTAGCTGGCTGCAGTATCACATGGAGCCCTATAGGATCTCTGAGATATTATAGATATTATAGGATATCTGCTCTGTGTTGTTGTTGTTTTTTTTACTTTCTTAATACAAGACAAATCAAATGGGCTGAGCTATTGTCCCTCTACCAGTCTTTTTAATGCACACTTGAACTTGGCATATGAAACCTACAGCATTAGCCCGTTTCTTCAGCTTCTTTCTTCTTTCTTCTGCACGCCCTAATAACCCTAACGAGAACAGATCCAGGAGTTTCGCTTCAGAAGTGTGTGTGAGCAGGTGAAGACGTGTTTGAGACTCTTCCTCAGGATGAAATAAAAGCGATAAAAGGGGCTGGAAGGCTCAGGAATGTGTCGCGTCTGCAGAACAGTTTTATTAGCAGCTTTTAAAGTTTCAGATGGGCGGAAAACATCTGTTTTTAACTAAACCGACAATAATCCGGCGACAGCCGCTCACACGCGACCGGACTAATGAAAGCCATCTGTCTGAGCGTGTTAAATGTGAAATTATCGACGTTTTTGTTCAGTTTATGTGAGAAACGCACACTGCAGCAGCTCGCAGTTTGACGCTCCTGTGGTGCGCGCGCCGCTCCAGCAGCAGTGGGCGTGGCTTCCCACGGATCTGACCAATAGTGCGGCTGAGCTCGAGTGATTGACAGAAGACCGGCGGAGCGCTAGTATAAGAGCAGCTGTCTGCGCTGGCGACGGGACAGACGCATCACGGGAGAGGTGAGTTGAACTCTGTCACTCTTAATGCTTACTCTGCTCCAGTAACATTTACAGAGAGTTGTAGCCTACAGCTGAATGAGCTTTTCACCACTGTGCTCCTTGTTCCGCTGAGTATGCTGAGCTTCATCATCTGTGTGCAGGTCAGAGGTCATGATGTCTGCAGTGAGACTGCTGTCTGCGCTCCTTCTGCTGCTGCCATGTGAGCTTTCACTCCATTCTTTCATGTTTAGCAGTATAAGCAACTGTGTCTATATTTTTGTATAATTTGTCATTTATCTTGAAGGTAAATTGTGCAAAAATGTTTTACTTAAGGTCAGCTCGAGGCAAAATCCCTGATGAATATCCTCCAACGGGAAGGTGAACATCTCTGTACTCACTGAAAAGATCTAATATTAGTTTATATGTCTTTAAATGAAGAAAATTCTCCTGGGGTTCATCTCTCAGAGCTTGTGTGTGTGTGTGTGTGTGTGTGTGTGTTAGATGGTGCTTCAGTCAGGATCGACTCCAACAAGGCGAATGAATTCCTGTCCAGTTCTCGCCCGAGACGCAGCGTCGATCCACGCTGGCACAGGCAAAGTCCAGATTTCCAGGCGTATTACAGATACTACAGCAGTATCGGACACACGGAGGGCGTAAGAGGACAGCAGACCCTCACAGATCACTTGCAGCCCTCGTCTGGTGTATATGGTATATGCTGACTCGGCTGTTTTCTCTCCCGCAGCTGTATGAGATCGACAGGATCCGCATGCTGTACCAGCAGATGAGGCACCTGGAGCAGGTCTACGGCCCCAACGCCTCGTACTACCAGAGCAAACTGGGGGTTCCGCTTCTGCCTCCGCTTCCCAAATGTGACCCAGCCAAAGACAAGAGCTGCAAGCCGGCTCCGCCCCCAGCTCCGCCCCCAGCTGCTGTCAAAGCCCCCGTGACTCCGCCCATCGCTCAGGCTGATGTCGTCTATCTGTGCAACAGCAAAGACCCCCAGTGCAGGCCGCACATCGTGTACATGCCGAGCGGAGCCGTGCCGGTGCTGTGTGACCCGCGCTATCACCCCACCTGCAAGCTGCAAGGCCCCGCCCCCTCTCCCGTCCCCTCCAAGAAATACAATCCGGCCCCGCCCCCTCCGCCGGCCCCCATCGTCTCCAAGGGAATGGAGTACGACTGCGACCCTTACTGGGACCCCGACTGCCTGATCGACCACCCGCCACGGCCCATCAAAGGTAAAGCCCCGTCGCCGGCGCCCGTGACGGAAGAGGACGAGCCGGAGCTGCGGGTGGCCGTCAGTAAGAAGCATCCACACCCGTATTACGCCCACCTTTATCCCTACAACTACCGCTCCGAGCTCTACGACCCGCTCCGACACGCCTACCCCGCGGCCGAGACGCCACACAGCGCCTAGAGCTTCTGCATTCATTGTGATTCATTCATTATGATTGATGTTAAGAAAGTTGAATAAAATATGGAGTAGTTTTCACCCCGTGAGTCTGTCCTGAATCCTGAGAGCCTGAGGCTGCAGTTAAAGCAGCAGGTTTGAGCCTCATTAGCTCGAGCTTCACAACTGTTAGCGTTTAAAGTTTTGCAGCGTGAGCATAAGAAACACAATAAACCACACACACACACAGCCTGGTTTTGGTGTAATCTATTAAAATGGCTTTGTAAATCTCTCAGTATGCATGCATTAGCAGACCGTGTAAGATTCTTTTTTCAACTTTATTCTTAAAATAAAGACTTCTGTTTTGAACTTACTGACCTGAGCTTATTAAATAGCATTGTTTCTGAATTACATTCACCTGGGAAATATTTAGTAGATATCATATTTTAATAATTAGGAAGTTTGTCTTAAAATTGTAATGTCCTAAAGGCAGAATGAGAGCTGTGGGACTTCGAGATTTCAAGGGTTAAAGCTGGAAGCTGTGCTGTGTGTCATTCTCCACTCATCTAATCTAATACAGTGGGCCACGGAGCGCTCCATATTTCTTTTTTTAGCAGTCTAATCCAGTTATTTCCAATGGCCAAGCAATCACTTTTGCACTGGAAAACAACAGGTATAAAAAAAAAAAGGGTAAAAAAAAATTAAAACCACATGCTTGTTAGATGCTGTGTGAATAAAGTTGTGATTTTAATCCAACCTCTTGAAATAAAGTTCTCAGAAAAAAAATTAATAATACTTAAATAACTTGAGCAGAAAACTGAATAATGATACTGTATTCTGTAGAGCTGTTTTATAGATGAAGCTGAAATTATAGAATTTCACAGTAATAAATAGGAATCAGTAAATTATAAAGCACTATAGAGATAAACCTGACTTAATCACAGGAGGGTTGTGTGTGATATCTTTACATGCGACAGTAAAGTTAAACAGGCATCTCACACAAAGACATCACGTTTATTGTATTAACAGCGCTAACGGTCAGAAAGAAATGAGATTGAGATACGAGACAGAAGCAGGACTGATGTGCTGATGTTTCAGAAGAACAGGCCCCTCATGCGTCTGCCGATGCCCTGCCTGTCGTACAGCACGTTGAACTTGTTGATGAACTGGTTCATGCTGTTGCAGGTTTTGGTGATGGATCCCAGGTACGCCATCAGACCCACGTCATTACATTGCTGCAGGAGGAGAGAACTCGTGTCAACTGATCATGTCACCAAAAACACTTCAGTCACTGTGAATGTGCTTCAGCAGATCAAGCGTCTGAATGACCGTTTCACTAACGTCTGCTTTGAGGAGTCAGTAATGAAACCTCTACATTTTATAGTAAAACATTATGTTTTGGCCCCCAAACAGTGACAAAAGCGACTGAGCAGCACAGAACTGAAACACTCACATCATAGAAGTCCGTCTTGAACTTCAGCGTGTTGAGAACCGGCAGACGGTGACAGAGAGCGTTCGCCTCCCGCAGGATCTCATGATTGAACGGGACCTCACCTAACACACACACATGCACACACACACACGCAGACGCACACACAGACACACAGACGCACGTGCACACACAGACAGACACACACACACACACACACACACACACACACACACACACACACACACACACACACACACACACACACACAAGAGAGAGTTTGAGGCTGATTTCTACGACTGCAGTTCAAGATCTTCTCCAGCAGAATCAGTCTGTGCTTTTCAAGGGTGGGCAAGTTGTTTTTAATAAACTATAACAAATTTACTTCAAAATCATCATTTGCTATTGACCACATGTTACAGACTCAAAAGCTCATTCAAGCATCAGTAAATAATTGAAGTTACACATTATAAGCAAAACCAGCTCAGTAACTGAGGCCACAGCACATACAATTACCTTTCCATCTGCTAAAAGCAAACAACTAAATCCATTATTGCATTTCCATGACTTTCCAAAAGAGAAATAAAAAAGACAGAAAGTGTTCGTATGCATCAAGACCAAAACAAATATGAAAAATTCTGAGTGAGTCCGACTCGAGCCATTTCACAACACGAGTCTGTCTGAAGCTAATGACCGAGATATGAGTGATGATCATAACAGCAGATCTCAGTTTGCCACATGCCCGTCTTTAAAATAAAACTCAAAACACAACCACATGTTGTAATAATTATTAAATCTTAATAACGATCTGTTTCTGTTTTCTTTTTTTAATCACACAGGACACTCTAAGAAAAAATATCAAGCATTATCAAGGACGACATTCAAAATTCAATAGCAGCTAAAAATGAAGCATTTTTCAAACTTTCAAAATTCTGTACGAATGCTGATAACTGTAATGTGTGTGTGTGTGTGTCTGTCTGTGTATAGTGTGTGCGTGTCTGCATGTGTGAGAGTGTGAGTCTCTGTGAGTGAGTGTGTGTGTGTGTGTGTGTGTGTGAGTGTGAGTGTGAGTCTGTGTGTGTCTGTCTGTGTATAGTGTGTGCGAGTGTGCGTCTGTCTGTGTATAGTGTGTGTGTGTGTGTGTGTGTGTGAGTGTGTGTCTGTGTGTGTCTGTCTGTGTATAGTGTGTGTGAGTGTGCGTCTGTCTGTGTATAGTGTGTGTGTGTGTCTGTCTGTCTGTCTGTGTGTGTGTGAGAGAGTGAGTGAGTGAGTGAGTGAGTGAGTGTGTGTGTGAGAGAGTCTCTGTGAGTGTGAGTGTGTGTGTGTGAGAGAGAGTGTGAGTCTCTGGGTACTCCAGAATGACCTTCACGCGACTGTGCAGCATCTTTATAGCGCTGTGCTGAGCGATCAGATGCTCCGCCACTGACAGAAACACACAAACACGGTTTAATCACACACACACACACAGACCAGCACCTGTATAATGTGTGTGTGTGTGTGTGTGTACCGGTGGAGTTCTCTCCTGTCCCGATGGCTGTCATCCGTGCGACGTGATCGACTCCGATGCGCTCTGCTTCTTCTGTCGCTAGCGTATACGGCAGCTCAGCAAACAGCATAGTCGCCTAGCAAAGATGACAGGACAGTTACGACCTCTGACCTCCAAACTAAAGACAGACTTCATGTGAACGATCTGATATCAAGGGTTAAATCCCCAGATCAGTCTTTGAGCGAGAGTCGATGTCAGACGACCCTGAGAACAAAGGAACAACGAGACTAACAAACTAACAGACTTCAGCGGCTGATTCATCACTTTAACAACTGCACACGTGTTGTATCACAAGTTTTCTGAAATGTTATATTTAAATATGCAAATGAGGCATGATCTCATTAATCTGCATTCCTTTCCAGCACATAAATCTGATGACTGGATAAAGACATGTTCATAATTCTGGTCTGATTTTGTCCTCATATTAGAGTTAAAGGTTTCTCCAGAGGGGATTGTGGATTTCTCTTTTTGTCATAAATCAGAAAATACTGTCAACAGACAGAAAACAAACACATTTTCATGTTTTTAGGAGTAAAATGTTGCATAAATCAGTGTGAATGAAATATGAGCAAACCTTCAGAATATAGAGAGGAATAAAACTGTAACGTTTGCTGTTTGTAAGAGAAAAAACTCTTTAAAGATTGAAATCTACAGAAAGTGCAATAAAAGCAACTCTTATGATGTTTTCGGTCCACTAGACTGAGAGAAGAGACGTGATATGGAGCAAAACAGACCGAAACCTCTGAGCTGAGCAGTGCAGGAATCAGTCTGGTTTAGTCTGTAGTTTATGTCGATCCGCTATTAGAGTCAGTCCAGCTCGAGTGCTCTAGATGAAGTTACTTGACTAGCTCTATGTATTGTTATTCAAAACCACCAGTCTTTTACTGTTATTTTACTTGGTTTATTCACAGCGGCGTCTTTGTGTCATTACACACAACAGAATTTGGTTCTAGAGACGTGTACGAAACGGTCTGAGCTCCTTAAAACAAACAGCACATCATCACGTTCATGAGCACACAGAAACATAATTCTTATTCCTTTGACCTGAACTCTATCCACGTGTAATGATCAAGATCACTCCAAGCTAGGGCTGGGCCATAGAGCTGAAAAATTTATCACGATATAATGTTTCACATCATTCGGTATCGATAATTATTTAAATTTAACCACTGTATTTTTAATTTACCCAATTTATTAAGACAAACAACAACAACCTATTTTAGTCTTAAAGAAAATAACAAATAAAACAAAATAAAATAAAATTGAAACAAATATCTCCTTATATTTTATCTGCAGATTAAATAAGTGTTTAGGGCGATGAGCAAAATAATGCACCTCATTAAACTGTTTATTCAATGCAATGAAATAACAACTGTCTATAAATAATTGCACACCGTCTAAACTAATGTTTATAAATCAAATATAATTTCGTAATTTAAATAAACAATATGAACAATACAGCATCATGTATTTTATGCATAGATTAATACAAATAGCCAAAGCGCTGATCACACGATTGCATTTAAAAACATATGAGACGCAGTGGAATGGAATAAAACCCCAAATTCTCCAGACGTGTTTTCTAAAAGTTGAAGCTCTTTTAACTTTACATGGCTTTCTGTTCATCTCTTGTGCGAGACGCGAGTGTTCAGTCGTAGTTGTGCGTCTCAAGAATGCGCTGAATATGCGTTCTTCTGTGTGAATGGCTTGGTTTGGGTTTTAACCTAAACAATATCTTCTCCGCATTGAGCTTCTATATTTCTCTAATATTACATCTCTTACATCATCCTCACTGCATCTCGTGCACCGCTGATAAGCTCCCTGACGCACAACTAAAATTCAAATAAACCGTTTTTGCATTCGAATGCAAATTTTTATTTTAAATTCGACTAATATTTATTTTTGATTCCCATCACAGGCACTCATTTCAGCATGTGTTTGTGTTCTCTCAGCTGTCTGCTTGTCACTCATAACTTTAAATGAAAAAAGCGACATATCGAACATTTTTTCTATCGTTATCGATGATGGTGTACCGCCGATAAATATCCATACCGTTTTATCACCCAGCTCTAACTCCGAGCTCAACTTTTCAGGTGAGTTTATAGGAAGATTGTTTCCTCATTACATCACACACAGCTGATCACTCAAAACAACAGTTCACGAGTTCGCCCGCCCACTCAGCCCTGCCAGGTAATGGTAAAACAAACTTGGCTTGCTGTCCGTGAAGGAGGCTCGAAACCTGAGGCTCGGCTTGAGCTCCGAGTAAGAAACCCCCCAAAAAAAGCTTATAAAGGACAGCAAGCTCGTCGCCAACTGGAGAAATAAAAAAATGTGGTTTTACCCCCCCAAAAAGACTTATTTAACGCATTAAGGAGAAAAAACGCTCCTGCGAGAGCGATGGGGAAAACTCTGCTATGGCGAAGAGGAAATCTTAACAAAAGAAAGATCGCTGCTGATGGGTAAAAGCTAATGAGGATTTGTCACTAATGCGGAAGTGATGAAGGAATGTTGCTGGGTTTGAAGGACGACTCACTGCTGCGGCGATGAGCTGCTAGATATTAGGATAGGAAAGCCACTGCTGCGGCAGTGAAAAGGTTAGAAGTTTGCAGGAGAGAAAGTCGCTGCTGCGGCGAGATGGTCCTCACTGCAGAACACAAGATCCAGATCCAACTCCTCCCACCTTACATATACCTAAACCTACTCATCTCCACCCCAAGTGGGAGGTTGGTCCTGGCCGTATGACTGCGGGATTTATGATTGGGAGACAGGGAATTCCCTGCTTTGAGACGTTGGGCTAGGTGAAAGGCGGGGAAAGGGGAATCCCTGCTATTTCTGCGAAACGAAAGTAATTTGTTGATTAATGAAAGACAGGTGTGTGGTGGCTGGATTATTGAATGAGAGATTGGTGTGGTTGTCTGATTTGGAAAAGGTTTGATCTGATGTAAGAATGGAAGGCGTTCGAAGACCACCGGCCTAAGCTCTTTATTTGGATTTCGGGGAGACCGTTTTGGGCGGCTGAAGTTGCAGCACCTATGCGAAAGGAAATGCATCTTTCCAGTTTACAATAAACTGGAAGTTTCAATCTTCAAAAAAAAACAAAAAGTTTAATCCATACAACTTGTGCAATATAACTTATGTTGTTTGAAATTGTAATACTTTGTGTGAAAAACAAACCACATTCAGTCATTATTGGAAGTGATTATTCACTTAAACTCTTGACATCTGCCCTGGCTCTTCTTGACAATGAATGAGAGTTCATTAGATTCATGAATGAATCTAGATGGTCCTCACCGCAGAACACAAGATCCAAGGGTCGTGGTTGGATCCAGATCCAACTCCTCCCACCTTACATATACCTAAACCTACTCATCTCCACCCCAAGTGGGAGGTTGGTCCTGGCCGTATGACTGCGGGATTTATGATTGGGAGACAGGGAATTCCCTGCTTTGAGACGTTGGGCTAGGTGAAGGGCGGGGAAAGGGGAATCCCTGCTATTTCTGCGAAACGAAAGTAATTTGTTGATTAATGAAAGACAGGTGTGTGGTGGCTGGATTATTGAATGAGAGATTGGTGTGGTTGTCTGATTTGGAAAAGGTTTGATCTGATGTAAGAATGGAAGGTGTTCGAAGACCACCGGCCTAAGCTCTTTATTTGGATTTCGGGGAGACCGTTTTGGGCGGCTGAAGTTGCAGCACCTATGCGAAAGGAATGGCTGGAGTAATGGTTTGCTGAAATGCCTGATTTAGTCAGGACTGATTTGAGGTGTTTTTGAAACCAATGTCTGGAGATGGGGCTATTATTGTCGTCTATGAAAAGGGGATCGGTGGGAGACTGAATTTGAGAACGTCTGTGAGCCAAGAAGAGGGCAACGGATTGGTAAGGCTGGAGGGGGGAGGGTAAGTTAAAAATGAAAATTGGATGGCCGTGCATTAATTGATCAGTTTTGCTACGTTTGATGTTAAAGCGAATTGTGTCGTTGTCCAGTATTTGGAGGTCGGAGAAGGCCGGATGGATCCTGGGATTGAATTTGGAATTGCAAGTGAATTCGGAGCATCTGAGGAAACCGAAGAAAGCGAGGATGAAAAGGGCGTTGAGTAATCTGGCTGTGTTTTCGGAGTGGTAACCTGAACGAAGGGTGAGTAAGCAATTGCTTAATATTTCGTGGGTGATGGGCAAGCGAGGTTGGGATTTTTCAATACCTTGTAAAAGCAGGGAGAGTTGAGGGTTGTTGATGGCGGGGCACTGGTGGCCGAAAATTAGTTTATGGAAAAAGTGGATACCGCTAAGATATGTTTTTATGGAGCCGGGTTGGATCTGTTTGAAGTGGTGGAGAAAAGTTGCAAAAGAAGAAACAGTTGTGAGAGAGAAGTCAGGCAATTGAAGCTTGTGGTGAGAATGGAAGGTTTTGAAACCGTTCCAAGCCATCCAGTATGAGCTGAGTGTTCTTGGAGAAACGGCTTGGAGGATGAGAAGGGTGGATAAGTCGTGAAGATGGAGGAGAGGGTGTTTTACTGGAACGTCAGGTCCGAATAAAGAGGCACTGGTGTGGGTGACTGGTCTGCCTGAGGAGCTAATGATCTGAATTTCTAAAAGGAAAGAGAGTCAGCAATTGAGTTTTTACAACCTGGTATATGGATTGCTTTAATTATGAACTGGTTGCAGGCAGACGTCCAGATCAAACGTCTTAGAAAAGGCATGATTTACGTGGAACTGGATGTGCCTTTATTTATGCAGTGGACTGCTGCTGAGTTGTCGCAATGGAAGCGGATGCTTTTAGAGGCCCATTTCCCCCATAATGTCGCGGCGACGACGATTGGGTAGAGCTCGAATAGAGCGGAGGAGAAAGACGGTTTCAAATTTAGGAGTTCGGGAGGCCATGTTGACGCAAACCAACGACCTTGGAAATACCCCCCGAATCCAACTGAGGGGGCTGCGTCTGTGAACAGGTGCATGTCGGTGGCTAGCGTGACGTGGGCATTGTAGAAAAAGCTGAGGCCGTTCCATTGATTAAGGAACAAAAGCCAGAGATTGAGATCGGCTCTACACGATTAATTCAGGGGGACTAAATCGTTTAAGCCGGGGACAGAGGATGCTACAGAGAGAAGGTGGAAGATAAAAGGGCGGCCTTGGGGCACGATTCTCATAGCGAAATTTAGGTGGCCTAGCAGGGAAAGAAGGTCGTATTTGGAAATTCTTGTGGCCGAAGTATGGTTATTAATTACGTTGGAAATTCTGTCAATTTTCTCTTTAGGATGCGAGGCTTGGAATTTGACTGAATCGAGGCGAATTCCAAGGAACTCGAGGGAGGTGGTGGGTCCCTCAGTTTTCTCGGATGCAATTGGAATGCCTAGTTCGGAGAAAACTCTTTGAACTGTGCTGAGGTGGGCAGCCGGAGGAGAATGTCTGGGTGATATGATGAGGAAATCATCTAGCAGATGAATTAGGTAGGGGATGTTGTAATTGTTAGCAAGGATCCAGCACAGGGCTTCGGAAAGCGTGTCAAAAATTTTTGGGCTGCTTTTACAACCGAAAGTCAGGCGGACGGCAAAATAGTATTTGTTACGCCAGTGTACTCCGAACAGATGCCAGAAATCGGGGTTTAATGGCATGACTTTGAAGGCTGACGTGATGTCGATTTTTGCTAACCATGCTCCGCGGCCGACGGATTTGATTAGTTGAATTGCTTGGTCGATATCGTGATAGTGTAAAGAGAATTCTGAGAGGGGGATTAGACTGTTGATGCTGGAGACGGAGCACTCTTAGAGTGATTAGAGATCGATAATGATGCGCTTCTTTCCCGAGAATTTTCTGGTGGCTATACCGATAGGGTTTATGCGATGTACGTCGAACGGGGGGGAATCAAATGGGCCGATCATAAAATTAGAATCCACCTCTTTTGCGAGGAGGGAATCTACGATATCTGGTTCTGACAGGGCGGATTGTAAGTTATTACAGACAAAAGTGGCAACTGGAAGACTTTCAAGACTGGGATCAAACACCGCCACAGAAATTACACACATGTAAAAAACGATATTTTTGCCTCAAACAGCGGAAATCGTTGAAGTGATTGCAAACTTGTCGACTTGGAATGGAAGAATAATGACCTTTAACAGGGGCAGAGCGATCTGACCCGGACTGTGGCACATATGATGTAGATTTGATAGATTCGGAGGTAGGCCGAGACTGAGGGTTCAGAGAATTTTGAGTGATTAGTGGGCAGGAGTGGTACTGATGAACGAGAGACCTACAAACAGAACAGGAGATGTTACGGCAGCCGAGGAAAACACGATTATACAAATCGAAGTCGAGGGCACCCCAGTAGGGGCACTGGTTCCACTGCGCGACCCTTGTCGCGCATTTAGCTGAAAATAGCTTGTGATAAGTGTAAAAGTGGCTGCTGCCGAATGACAGAGAAAAGTCAGCGATAATAGAGAGATAATCATTTAGCTCCTTACGCCAGTTTGGAAAAACTGAACAGATTACGTCTGTATATTTTCCAAATGCTAGAACGAATTCTGCGAGTGAAAGAATGCGATTGGAGCTAGAGGCTGAATCTTTAAGGGTCACGGAAAAAATGCCACAGTCCAGGGATCGATAGCAATCTTTTTGCGGGATGGGAGATAGAAGAGATGCTAAGTCCACGTCCATACCTGAGAGGATTTGGGTGCGGAGCGGAATGGACACGGATGGGGGCTCCATGGCAATGGCGTGAGCAGGAGTTGCTGTTGGAACGGTCGTGTAGAGAGTATAGGATGGAGGACGGGCTGGAGTAACATTAGAGGGAGGAAGGCTGACGGGGAAAAGACGAGGCAGGCACCGTTTGCGGTGGCAGCCTCATGCTGGGTTCTGTGCTCGTAGAAGGAAAGAAAGAAGTAGATGAGAAAATATGGGGGGATGCAGACAAGAGACCGGAGCGGGACACGATTGCGGAGGCAGCCTCACGCTGGGGGGCGCTCCGGAGATAATTGGAAAAGAAGTAGGAGGAGGAAGGATGGGAGCGGGATTTTGTGAGGAATGGGCGAGGCTGAGCAAATCTGAGGTGAGTAAAAGGTGGGCTTGGACAGGAGGATCAATGGTGTGGGCAAGGGCGAAGGTGGGAGCTTGGGAGCGTGTTTGAGGGGCTAAATTGGCCTGTGAAAGCAAAGGGCTTAAGACCGTGGCCGCGAGACCTGCGCTATTGGGTTGGGGGGCGGGGATTACGGCTGCGGAGGTGGGCGCAGGTGCTGCGGCCGGGGAGGAAACGCTGGTAGAGCCCGAGGCTGTCTCGGTCTCCGTGTTAAACGAGGCTAGCCTAGCTCTTTTAGACGGTCGACTGGAAGCTTTTTGAGGGCGGGTGGGAGGTACAGTTGGTGGATTCTCTCCAGATAGTGACTTCGTGTAAAGAGCGTACAACTGTACTTTGGTTTGCCTATGGGAAAAATGAATGTTTGCGGAGGCAAGAGCGTGCCGCAATCCGTTAACTGTCCATTTTGTTATGTCGGGAGTTGACGATGGTCCTGGTGGAGTCGGCTGGGCTGGAAGGCGAGGAGAAGTTGAGACGCCTGGGGTCCGTGGCTGCCTGGCCGGAGGCGAGGATGACCGCGGTGTGTGGCGGTGTCTTGGCGAATTTGGAGGAGGGCGCCGATTAGGACGACCTTGTTCCTTGCTGGTGTGGCCGGTACGAGAACCGGAATTGGAGGAAGCTGGGTTCGGCTGGGTGGCGGAAGGAGAATCCGAAGGACGGGAAAGTTCCTCGTCGGAGGTGAACAGCTGAAGCTCGTCAGAGTGGGACATGTTTCATGGAATAGGGCGGGGCCACTATGCCGGAAGAATAGTCGCTTGGACGGAACAATGACTGCTGCTTATATACGGTCGAAACGATGATTGGCAGGACTGGCTGATTAGGCTCCTCCCAAACCTGCGTTGTGAACTTAATGAAAATAAAAAATTGTCAAGCAACGAACTTCACAAATTTTGGATGACCTGAGATTATTCTATATCATCTGTTGCATGTCTCCTGTCCTGCTGACCATATATTATAATGATTATTACTAATATATCAATATTCATAGTCATACAACAATACTGAACCTGAGACTCACACACACACACATCTGAGACTCTCACACACACACACACCTAAGACTCTCACACACAAACACACACACACACACACCTGAGACTCTCTCTCACACACACACCTAAGACTCACACACTCACAGAGACTCACACACACACACACACACACACCTGAGACTCTCTCTCACACACACACCTAAGACTCACACACTCACAGAGACTCACACACACACACACACACACACCTGAGACTCTCTCTCACACACACACCTAAGACTCACACACTCACAGAGACTCACACACACACACACACACACACCTGAGACTCTCTCTCACACACACACCTAAGACTCACACACTCACAGAGACTCACACACACACACACACACACACCTGAGACTCTCTCTCACACACACACCTAAGACTCACACACTCACAGAGACTCACACACACACACACACACACACTCTCTCACACACAGACACACTATACACAGACACACACAGACACACATACCTGAGACTCTCACACACACACACACACCTGAGACTCACACACACACACACACACACACAAAACAAACCAAAATGCAAGGCACAAAAAAAAACCAAAACAAAAAAACAAAACAAAAGTAAACAAAAACAATGCAAAACAAAACAAGAAAACAAAACACAAATCAACAAAAGTAAACAAAAACAAATCAAAGCAAAACACAAACAAAAGTAAACAAAAGCAAAGCAAAGCAAAAATAAACAGAACAGAACAGAACAAAAGTATACAATAACAACACAAATCAAAGCTAATTAACACAATGCAAAACCACAAAAGTAAACAAAAACAAAGCAAAGCGAAACACAAATAAACAAATGTTAACAAAAACAAATCAAAGCAAAACAAAACAAAACAACAAAAGCATACAAAAACAAAGCTAATTAAAACAAAGACTCACACACACACACACATGCACACACACAACTGAGACTCACCACACACACACACACACACACACACACACACTCACCTCTCCGCTGATTATGTCAATCACAGATTCATACACGCTGACCGGCAGCTGCGCACACAAAGTGTTAAAGGTCAGGATTCACAAACACATTCTGTGTTTAATCTGTGTGTGTGTGTGGGGGGTGTGTGTGTGTGTGGTGTGTGAGTGTGAGAGAGTGTGTGTGTGTGTGTGTGTGTGTGTGAGACTCACGTCGGTGTGTTTGGTCATGGGGTTGAGCTTCAGGAACAGCGGACTCTCGATGATCTCGCACACCTACAAAAAACACACACACCTTCAGTATGACACAACACACTGATGGGAGGAGTTTATCCTCAGCCCCACCCACCTGCTTATGAATGTGGATATCTGATTGGTCTGGAGTGCCACCAGTCGTGTACCAGCCCAGAAACTCCATGTCCTTAAAAACCTGCTTGACTGACGGAGGAAAACCAGCGTGTCACACACACACACACACACGTTAGGAATCACTACACACACGGTGAATGTTAGTGTTTGTGTTACTCACACTGCTCTTCTTTAGTGTAGTAATACTCTTTATCGATGTGAATCTGATCCTCTACGGTGTGAAACAGCAGCTCAAATGAATTCATGACCTCGATGTTTCTGCCTTCCTGTTTTCCGATCAGAGCGCCGACGACTGCAAACACACGAATGATTACTACATGACAACATGCCACAGACTCGGTCCTCTGGATGTGTCTGAT